GAGGCTGCGGTGACCAGGAGTGGCCACTGCACTCCAGTCTGAGCAACAGAGTGAGACTCCAACTCAAAAAAAGAAAAAATTCTTTGGAAAAATAAATATGGAGTACGTTTTATTCAATTATTATAAAATAGTGTTACTTGTACTTACTTACTGGTTTGTCTGTTCCTAAACTTCATTTTCTTAACCATTATGTAGTATGGAGAAAAACTATATATATGAGGGGGTACCGAATTATATATAGTATGGAGAATATATATTTATATGAGGGGGACTTGGAATTATTTTTGGGGGGAGTGCAGGTCCCTTGTAGTACAGGCTTCCCGTGCTAGATAAGTGCTCTAGGAACCCATTGACATTAGTGTACCAATTAGCATTGTTGTGAGAGACTGCGTTCAGCTTCAGTGGATTTTTTTTTTTTTTTTTTAAATTCAACACATGTCTGTTTCATGATGGGTTGTTTACGAGTGCACTACTCACACTGTGCTAAGTGTTCATCAGTTTTTGACCAAAAACTGACCTGATCCCCGTGCTCCACCCTCCCTATTCATCCAATCTCTCCCCAAGAGACTTTTTAAAAATTTCCCCATGAAAAAAATCCCCAAAGGGAAACGTTTTGCCTATGTAGAAGATATGAAACAAAAAAACAGCAGAAACACTAAAAGGCACCAAAATTGATGAATTCAAAAACTGTTTTGAGCAGTGGAAAAAGCATCCCAATAGGTATATTGCGTCAAATGGGGAGTACTTTGGAGATGTCTGAAATATAAACATGTAAGAATAAATATACAATTTTAAAATAAATTCTAAGGTTTTGGGGGGTTACTTTTTTGTGTGTTTGTGTGTGTGTGTGTGTATGTGTGTGTGATATATATACACACACGCACATACTATATAAGATCTGGCATTAGAATGGTATAGTAAGCACATTTGGATGTTTCACCAGCCTTACTCATTTTTTATGTTGGCAGTAGTGATTATTTCTTGTGCCCACGGTGGCCGTGAGCGTGCCACTGCACTCCAGCCTGGGTGACAGAGAGACTCTAAAAAAAAAAAAAATAGTGATTATTTCGTTTTGTCTATAAATATTTAACGTTTGGGCAGGAATATGAAAACATACATATTTATTTTAAGACTTCTAGAAAAAGCTATTATGGTATTTTTTTAACTTGACATTTTTCTAATATTTCTTAAACTTGGGTTTATAATGTGCATTTTGATTTTAGTAACTTACATGATATCTCAGTTTATTGAGTATTGCCACAGGAATTTTTTTTTTTTTTGAGTCAAAGTCTCACTCTGTCACCCAGGCTGAAGCAGCCTCCACCTGCTGGGCTGAGGCAATCCTTCCACCTTAGGCTTCCAAGTAGCTGGAACTACAGGCGTGTACTACCACGCCCAGCTAATTTTGTGGTTTATTGTAGAGATGAGGTCTCACCAAGTTTCCCAGGCTAGTCTTGAACCTGTGGGTTCAGGCACTCCTCTCACCTCAGCCTTCCAAAGTGCTAGGATTATAGGTGTGAGCCAGCCACAGGGATTTTTAAATTGTCAGAGGTTCTTCTTTGATCTTGTCAGCCAATATGGCAAAAAAGAATTTTTTTTAACATAATTTTTTTGACATTCAGTAAATCTAGACATAAGTACAAATTATCTTTTGGAATAATTTTAGGAACATTTCATAATTACTTAAAAGTTGGTAAACTTTTCTTAAATACCAGACATTTCAGACTTGATAGCCATACAATTTCTGTCACAAATACTCAACTTGTTATAGCTCAAAAGCAGCCACAGACAATATGTAAATAAATGGACATAGCTGTGTTCCTAGTAGATTTACCTATCTGAATAGAACCAATAGGTCTTAGAAGATGGAGAGTCCTTAAGCTAATTTTTGTAGGTAGGTGGTACATCTCCATTTTCTAGAGAAAGTATTTGAGACAGGTAAGTGACTTGCTTCACCCATAACTGATAAGTTGTGAAGTGAGAACTAAAATTACCAGAATGACTTTTTTCCCAAAAATGACTGGTACCAACATTGAGGAAATTTTGTTAGCTTCTCGTGGTATTCTGTGCCAAGAAAACATGATGGTTATACAAAATGATAACTAAAAGCATTGATAGGAATTCCACTCAGTAATAAGAAGGAAATAACTTTTGATAAACATAACAAAGTGTTTGGATCTCAAAATCATTTGCTGACTTAAGCCAGACAAAAAGAGTACATGATGTGTGATTGTATTTGTATAAAACTCTAGAAAATGCAAACTATTGTGACAGAAAGCAGATCAGTGGTTCCCTAGGAATAAGGTGGAAGGAGGGATGGATTAGATTATAGCAGGGTGTATGGAAACTTTTAAGGGCGATAAAAATGTTTATTGTGGCTGGGCTTGGTGACTCAGCCGATAATCATAGCATTTGGGAGGCCGAGGCTAGTGGATTGTTTGAGCCTATGGGTTCAAGACCATCCTGTGCAGCTTGGTGAGACCTTGTCTCTACAATAAATCAAAAATTAACCGGGCATGGCAGCATGCGCCTGTAGCTCTGGCTACTTGGAAGGCTGAGGTGGAAGGATCCCGGAGTCTACCAGGTTGATGCTGGGGTGACCGTGAGCATGCCACTGCACTCCAGCCTGGGTGACGGAGTGAGGCTCCAACTAAAAAAAGAAAAAAATTTATTATGTTAATTGTGACAGTGGTTTCGTGTTTATATACGTTTGTCAAAACATAAAATTGTATACTTAATATGTGCAGCTTATTGGACATAACTTATGCTTCAAAGTAGTCAAAAGATGAATACAATGAAAATGATTGAAATTGCACTTTAACCCACAAAATCCTTTGTAACATAAATATATTCTTATGTCAAGAAAAGTTGTAAATCAAAAAGTAAGCAATAATAGGACCTAGATATACAGCCCAAATCCTACAGGACTTGTTTTTGTGAGAGCTGGATCCTTGGTTAGTACTTTAGCCAGCTTTTAGGTGAGTGCTGTTTATGAAATACTCTACTAAATCACATTTCCAATTTTTAGAACACCTGTAGGTATCTGAATCAAAATTTTCACACTGCTGACACTGGATAATACTGTGAGATAATTAATCATCCTAGGATATCAAGAAGTTGCTTTCAAGAAAGATGACCAGGTTTTTGTTGAGCTCTGGTGTATATGTATGTC